TGGGATTTAACTACCTTACAAGTTTTCATAGAATGGCTTTATGAGGAAGGTTAGAATTCACTATCTATACCTCTTATTACATTAGCAATTAAAGTTCATCAAATAAAGTATCTTAATGGTCTTATCTTAAAATGAGAATAATTATTACTTTCTCATTCACTCATAGGCCAGAATGAGTAAACATTTAGTAGTAGTAATGTACTGTACAGAGCTCTCTTGGTGCAGTGTTAAGCACTCAATTCCTAACCTACACGTTGGCAGCGTGAGCCCAAGAGATGCTCCACAGGAGAAAACTGTGGCGAGTCTATTTCAATAAAGATTACAACCTTGGAACCCCACAGGACTAGAACTCTGTCCCTACACGGTCGCTGTGAGGTGGAATCCATGCGATGACAATGGGTAAGCTGACATATTCGGAATACCGCATGAACAGACAAATTTGTAAATGAACTCCTTTCCTAAAATTGTGAGTGTAGAAACTTTCTCTTTAAACAAAATAATCAAGTGTGTGAGACTAGTGAGTTTTTAAAAAAAGCTTGGTCATGGTGGTTTAAAATAAATAATAGTAGGTTTCAGATAGTAATGGCACACACTTTATTGAATGCATTTAAAAACAGCTACACAGCAATTTTATTTTTAAATATCAGCGTTCAAATTATCCTCAAAATTATATCTTTTGGAAACATTAAAACTTACTATTAAAAAGTTTTCATTATCAACAAAAATACATGCAAGGGGTTACTGGTCAGACATTTCTCAATGCTTGTTTAGGAGATGGTGGCCAACAAATTTTGGAGTTACCAGACTGAATGATGACTCAATTTTATTAGCTTCTCATAGGCTAAAGCCAAAGGAGTCCTGGTTGTGCACTGAGATAAGCACTGGGCTGCTAAAAACAAGGTCAGCAGTTCCAATCTTCCAGTTGCTCATTGGCAGAAAGCTGAGGCTGTCTGCTTCCGTAAAGACCTGCCATCTTGGAAACCCTGTGTAGGGTGGCTATGCATCCACTGGACGGAGTGGGAGTGGCTAGTCTAATGGCAAGAGTCTAAGTGAGACAGTCTACGTATCTCAGGCATGGGCTGTCTACAGTGATGCACAGAGATCAAAGAGCCCTTTGTGGGGAGGGTGGGATTTGAGCAGGGTTTAACAAATGGGAAGCTGGGAACTTGAGAAAAGATAAATTGACTGTACTTGAAAGGTAGGGGTCAGCAGCATGTGGTGCTCTGCAGGCGAGGGAAAGCAGATGCGCCCGGTTGGAAATGGCAAGGGCATGGATTTTCAGGTCAAATGAAGCTTGAGGTCAAGTTGAGGATTTACCACGTTTTAACTTAACTACTTTAAAGAAATCTTCATTTCTATTCTGAATATCAAATAAAGTAAGCCGAAACCCAAACTCACTGCTGCTGAGTTGATTCGGACTCGCAGAGACCCTATAGAGCAGACCAGAACAGCCCCATTAGGCTTCCTAGTCTACACATCATTATGAGGCAGATTGACACAGCTTCCTCCTGCAGAGCAGCTGATGGGTTCAAAATGCCAACTTTTTGGTTAGCAGCTGAGTGCTTTAACCCCTGTGACACCCAGGCTCCTCAAAACTCAAATAAGGGACATAAGAGAAACTGTTGTTTAAGTTGCAAAGTAAGAGTACTTGTCAGACATCACCCCCTTCCAACTGGGAGCCACTGAAGGGTAGCAGGTAACATAAAGGTTACGAGAAGAGTTCTGGTGCCACTTGACTAATCGAGAGACAAAAACCGCCATTTGCTTTCTATGTCCACTAGCCTATGTGTGTAAGATGCCAATAATGGAACGCTTCACTTTATAGGGCTATTATGAAGATCAATCATTAATGCGCATGAAGAACGTAAAATGCGGATCTTAAGCGCTAGCTGTTTTATTGCTGCTGGTGGTTCTGTTGGTATTGCTTTCTAATCTCGATGTCAAGTAGAGATCAAGACATTATCAACTATTAATAAGTACTTGTTGAATGAAGAATCTTTTAAAAAGAAAGCTGCAGGTGTGCCAGTTAAATCTCGTTTGTTGTTGTTGTTATTGTGGCTGTCAAGTGAGTTCCAACCCAGAGTGACCCTATGTAGGATTTCTAAGGCTGCAAATCTATACACGAGCAGAAAGCCTCTTTGTTTACCCACATAAGTCGAATAGAGGGCTTTAATAACAACAGCCGCTATCCTGTTCCTCGGCTTTACTACAAAAGTATGTGAAAATAGTCCACTGAAGTTCTATGCTGTCACAACTAACAAGATAACGTATAAGTATGTGTATTTTCTCCTTGCTTAAAGGCCAAAAAGCTCAAAAGAATACACCATATTTTGTTCTGCAAAGAGTATCTATACTGAGCACGTATATATTTGGCTTATAAAATAACACAATTTTTTCTATTAGAAAAGATTTTGCTCTGTACAATAAACAGTGGGCTGTGAACCACAAAGTTGGTGATTTAAGCCCACCAGCAACTTCACAGGAGAAAGATGAGGCTTTCTGCTCGCACAAAGATGTACAGCCTCGGAAACCCTATATAGGGTCACTATGAATCAGAACCAACTCGACTTAACAACAACACAGGAACAATGGGGACCTTATCTAAGGGAGTCTGTAACACCAAAGGAACAAAAAGAGCCCTTTAGAAAAACAGCCTTAGCTATTATTACTGTAACAAGCATAGAGCTGAAGGCACTGGTTGTTGTTGTTGTTGTTGTTAAGTGCCATCGAGTCGGGTCCGACCCATAGCGACCCTGTACAGGGTTTCTGAGGGTGTAAATCTTTACGGGAGTAGAAAGCCTCATCTTTCTCCCGCGGAGCGGCTGGTAGTTTCGAACCGCTGACCTTAAGGTTCGTAGCCCGATTCGTAACCACTACGCTACCAGAGCAGCTGAAGGCACTGGTATGAAGCTATAATTGCAAGATTTAAGTCATTTTTAAGAACCATTACTGAGGTGATTTTTTTTTTTTTAATTGTAAAGATTATTCACCATTCCTGTTCTTTTCAAACATGCATGTATACATGTATACACACACATACACACATGCACACAAAGATGAGGGGAGGGGCCTTCAAAAAGTTTGTGGAAAATACCATCTTTTAAATCGCATTTTTCCATTTACTTTTTGAAGCCCCCTCGTGTCTGTGTGTATAATCAAAAGAAGAGAAAACACTGGTGTTCTGCACCAATTCTTCACTTTAAAACCGTATGCAACACAAGCTGCACATTGTTCAAATATTATTTTACTATTTAATTACCATGAGGCTCCTCTCTCATAAGTATTGGCTAGACACGAGCAAAAATGTACAAACACAGGGCTCAGCAATGTGATCGTTAAGAAAAGCATATTAAAAAACAAACAAATGTGTTTTAGTTTCAGGGGACGCCATGGTCAACTGACACAATAGAGTGTACAAAGACAATGTCCTACATCCTGCTCTGGTGAGTAGCATCTGAGATCTTAAAAAGTCAAGAGTGGAAATCTAAGGTGCAGACCTTGGTCTCTCCATGTGTGGAAGAAAGAAGAGTGATAAGAATTGAAGAGGCCTGGAATGAACTTGTCCAGTGGACTAATGGAGCATGGGAGCATCCGTCTCTACGACCCTGAGACCAGAAACACTCAATGATGCTCAGCTGCCACTACCAACTGCCCTTCATGGGATCACATTAGAGGGTCCTGGATAGAACGGCATGATGTGTGAAACAGAACTCAAAGTTACTTATTTAAAAAAAAGACTGAGCTTACTGGTTAGAAAAAGATTGGAGGCACCTGAGACTGTGGCCCTCGGACACCCTTCATGTCTGGAAAGGAACACACCTTCTTTCAGCCAAGTGGTAGACAGGCATACAGCGGGAACAACTTTCAGTCAAGCAGTAGCTAGGTATCAAGGCGGAACACGGTTCAGCCAGGCAGTAGGTAGGTATACACGGGAAACAACAACACTAGTAAGGCAAGCTCACTATGAACGATGAAATGGGCAATCATTCCAAATCAAAGGGGCAACATGTACCTAAGGACAACGGCAAGATGGATGGGAAGGTGGGTGGAATGGAAGATGGAACCACAGGGAGGCAGTGGGACAATTGTTGTTGCATGGAGGGGATTTCAATCATTGAGATGAAACAACCTGTATGCTTTGTTGAATGTAAAACGGATGATCTTTTCTGTAAACCTTCACTCAATTCACAATAAAAAGAAGAAAAAAAAAAGACCATGATTTCACTTTTAAAAAGAGGTTTGTTGTTGTTGTTGTTAAATGCTTTCGAGTTGATTCCCACCCATAGTGACCCTGTAGAGGGTTTCCAAGGAGAAGCTGGTGAGCTTGAACTGCTGACCGTGCTGTGCTGTTCAAACAGCTTTGCAGTCTGGAGCATTAACCCACAACACCACACCAGGACTCCCAAAAAGAGGTTTGAGTAACTATAAATAAAAAGCAATGTGCCTTGGAAATGTAAAGGTAGACATTTTGTAGCAAGGAGGCGAGCGATTAACTTTGCAGTCTAGGAGCGGAGGTCCCTGGGACCATCAAGGGAGAAGAGCGGAGAGCGGGACCCTACCCAGTGAAGCAGTGACACCAGAGATGGAGGCAGAGACGATGATGTGGAGAGATGAAGTGGCTGGGGACTTTAGACCCAGAGAGGGAGAGGGGCTGTGTGCTGATGACCCGTGGGGGAGTGGGGGGCAGGGTGTACCCTTTGGTTAGTTGATGATGCATGGAGGGGATTATAACCATGGCAATGCAATGAAATGATATGATAGGATGCATGTAAAACTAATGTTCTCCCTTGTAAACTATCAAATAATTCACAATAAAACATTTTAAAAAATAAAAAAAGCAATGTGCCAAAATGATTATGTTTCTTAATTCCATTTAAACTGTAGATGAGCTAAACATCAGGATTTGTGTGTGTGTCTTTGTATGTTATAGAGAGACATTTTGTTGATGAATAATATGTACTGAGAAGCAATAGATCAGTATTAAAAATATAAGAACTTACAAGTATGTCTGGCCAGTGAGTAGTTGGATCCACCACTAGTCAAGCCAAATCCCTCCGGAATTTGACTAGAGCTTCGAGGTCTGGTCAGCAGCTTGGGAGGTTCAATTTCAGCACCAAATTCAGCACCTATCACTCCCAGTAAAACAATAGCAGTAGCTTGCTTCCGCCTTTCCTCATAAGATGTGGAAATTTTTTTCATTTGCGGGACACTTGACAGGCAACCTGAAAACCAAAACAGGAGGATGTAAATTTAAAGACTATCAAGACAGAAAGTCACATAATTATAAAAACAACCAAGATTAATGTCAGCTTTTTCAATGAATGGAGCTGGGTCAATTGGTTATCCAATTGCAAAAGAAAACAGTTAGATTCCTACCTCGCAGTATGCACAAAAATAAATTTAACTTGGATCTCAGAACTGAATATAAGAATTAAAATGACAGATCTTGAAAGAAAAAACAGGTGCAGATATACATGACCTTGGGTTAGGCAATGGTTTACTAAATAGGATACCGAAAGCATAAACTACTTAAAAATTATAAACTGGGGTTTATCAATATTAAAAACCCTTGTGCTTAAAACAGTACAGTCAAGAAAACAAAACAACAAGCTACAGACAGAAATACAACAGTGTCAATCATATATCTAATGATGGACTGGGTGACAAATACATAAGGAACACTTAGAATTCAACAGCAAAAGAAAAACTCTTCCAACAAAATTTTTAAATGGGCAATTGACCTGAACAGCCATTTCTCCAAAGCATACATATGAACAGCCAACTAGCATCAGAAGAAATGTGCAAGATTGTTAGTCAATTGCTGTTGTTGTATGCCTTTGAGTCGGTTACTCAATTGTTGTTGTTAAGTGCTGTTAAGTCAGGTCTGACTCATAGCAACCCTGTATAGGATTTTCCGAGGAACAGTTGGTGGGTTTGAACCACTGACCTTGTGGTTCGTAGTCCAGTGCTGATCCTACAGTGTCACACACCTCAATTTTGTTGTTGTTGTTAGGTGCCATCGAGTCGGTACTGACTCATAGCGACCCTATGCACAACAGAATGAAACATGCCGGATCCTGAGCCAACCTCACAGTTGTTGCCATGCTTGAGCCCACTGATGCTGCCACTTTCCCAATCCATCTCGCTGGGGGTCTTCCTCTTTTTCTCTGAGCCTCCACCTTACCAAACATGATATCCTTCTCCAGCGACTGGTCCCTCCTGACAATATGTCCAAAGTATGAGAGACGAAGTTTGGCCATCTTGGCCTCTAAGGAGCACTCTGGCTGCACTTCTTCCAACACACATGTATCTGTTGGTTCTTTTGGCAGCCCATGGCACTTTCAATATTCACCTCCAACACCATATGCATCAATTCTTCTAGGGTCTTCCTTATTTGCTGTCCAGCTTTCGTATGCATATGAGGTTACTGAAAATATCATGGCTTGGGTCAGGCCGTCCTCAAGCTAACACCTCAATAGGAAAGTGCAATCAAAAATCACTTTGTATCCACTGTTGTTGTTGCTATATGCCGTGGAGTCGGTTCTGACTCATAGTCATAGAAACCCTGTAAAGGGTTTCCGAGGCTGTAAATCTTTATGGGAGCAGAGAGCCTCATCTTTCTCCCTTGGAATAGCTGTCAGTTTCTAACTGCTGACCTTGAGGTTCACAGCCTGATTCTTAATCGCTACACTACCAGAGCTCCTTCCACTAGAATGGTTGAAATACAATAGGCAGACCATCACCAATACCTCAAGTGGTATTGAGGCTGTAGAGTAGTTAGAACACTCATTTATGGCGGGCAAGAATATAAAATGGTGCAAATACTTTGGAAAACGGATGATCCAGAACTCCTTCTCCTAGGTGGAATACCTGAGAGAAATAACAACAAATGTACATACAGACTTGCATATGAGTGTCCACAGCAACACTGTACACAATAAAAAATCAAAATATAGAAGCAACTCAAATGTCCATCAGCTGATGAGTAGATAAACAAAATCCTGTCTAGCCATACAAGAGGGAATTACTCTGCATTAAAATGGAATACAATGCTTATTCCTTTTTATTGCATAAATAACATGCTACAACATGGATAACTTTGAAAACATGCTAAGAGAAAGGAGTCAGTCACACACACACAAATCCTAAGGCATGGTTCATTTATATGCACTATCCAGGGCAGGCAAACATGTAGAGACAGAAAATAGACTTAGTGGTTGCCTAGATATAATGGTTGTTCTTGTCAAGTGCCATCAAGTCGGTTCCAACCCATAGCCACCCTGTATGGGTTTTCCATGGAGGAGCTGGTAGGTTTGAGCTACCAACCTACATTGAGAAGTCCAGTGCTTATCCTACATTGCCACACCAGAACTCCTGCCTAGGTGTAGGGTGGAATAAAGAAGGGATTGAAACTGACATTGCAGCCCAGCATTTACCCACAATGCCATACCAGGGCTCCACAGGGGGAACTAGTCTCATGAAATAACAAATATTTTTGAACCCACCAATGAAAAGCCTTAAGACACAAGCAATTAGTCAGATGAAATTAAGACATGGAAAAAGTTAGGTTGTTATCAAAACCCTAACACTAAACTGTGCTTAGGGCCTGACATTAAAATTGTTCTCCCTAAACTTTTGTATATCCCTCTGAAGAGGACTCTACGTGAGAACACTCATCTAAAGAGAGATTAAATGATTGAAATTTTAAATAAATACTGGCGGGGAAAATTTTCTGAGGCAGCTGAACATATGGCCTTTTAGTCTTCTATTTATCCTGATTAAAACTCTGGGAAACATCTTAAGATTTTGTCTGGGCAATACCTTTTTGCCTTCCGGACCTATGCTTGAGTGGCAGTTAGACTTTATTCAACTCCCATATTTGAATGGCTATAAATATGTCATGACAATGATTTGTAGATTTTCAAGTTGGGTAGAGGCTTTGTTCCTGCTGTCGTGTAACTGTTGCCTTGGCATCAAAAACATAATACACACTTGGGGAACACTGAAAATTCTTTGCAGTGACCAAGAAACTCATTTCACTGTACAAGTCATTCAAGAATTATGCCAGAACTTCCCCGTGTACCAGAGACTACATTGTCCTTACCACCTACCATCAGGTGGACTGGTAAAGAGAACTAATGGTATGACGGAAGCTCACTAAGTTTTCCAAATGCTTAGGTTTGTCCTGGACTAAAGCTCTCACTTAAGTACATGTAAAGTTAAAGGATCCTCTTTGGGATCTCATAAACTCACTCCTTATGAAATCCTTATTGGGAAGTCTATGATCCTCCTGTACATTGACTCTACCAACCGTAACCGTACAATCGGAACTACTAAAATATTATAAATCCCTAAGAAATATTTTTCATAAATTAAAGAGGCACTTGAGGAACAGAAGTCTGATTTTTTTGTGGCCTTCCATTAATGAAACTTGATATTCCACAGTGGCAGATCATTATATCAAAACAGATCAAAATCTCCCAGTTGGTGCCCAACGTGGAGTGCCGAGCATTTAAAAAATGATCCATTTGTAATGACTCATTAATTGTGGACTGACTTGAAGAAGTCAATATTCAACTCCATTTCCTACTTTTTACACTAGTACAGGTATGTTATGTGGCCCATTTGAATGTCTTTATGATTTAGGAAAAAGTCCAGTGATGCACCCTATACTTGGGACTTGCCATATTTACATGGTTGGGGTATGTTAGGTGAATGCACCTTAGGTATTTTGGGAGTTCTCATGAGTACCCATTCATACAATGACAACTTACTATGGAACAGTGACCTGAAATTAATGCATTTACAGAAAAGAGAACTTGTCTTCTCAGATAATCTCATTACTGATGGATCTAGGTAAGGCAGATCATTTCCCCAAGCATTTGTTTCCATTTATGGCACATTACAAATAGAAAAGCTATTCAAATGCACCTGCCACTTTGGCTGATAATGTTGCTGATGGAAAGGCAACTCAACAGAAGTCCTTAGACTTCTTTGATAAAATTGTTTTATTTACAATAGCCCTTGATTTCCTATTAGCTCTACCAAGAGAAGTTAGCGCTATTGCTAATACCTCTTGCTGTTCATAAATAAAAACTTCTGGAGATGTTGTTATTGTTGTCAAATGCCATCGAGTCAATTCTGACTCATAGACAATCTGTTAGGGTTTCTGAAGAGCCACTGGTGGATCTGAACTGCTGACCTTTTGGTTAGCAGTACACCGCTTATCCTACAGCACCACACCAGGAGCCCTCTGGAGAAACAGAACAGGATATTACCAAAATATGTCCAAAACTCTCCTGGTTATAACCCAGTCCCCCCATGACCAATAACTTCCTTTTTTGATATTCTTGATGGTTACTCAAAAGTGTCAGATACAGAATATACTTTTTTCTATTACCTTGGCTATTCCTTTTAATAACTGTAACTACAGGGCTTGTGAAATGTACAATATACTGCGTTTCTCACTGCCATAGTCAGTCCTCAAGGTACCTAGACATGTGATGAATCACAGTGGGTCAGAACTGACTCAATGGCACTTAACAACAATAACAACAACAAGAATTTTGCTCAAGAGAAAGAAATTTAGTTCTGGAATCAGATCTTTTTGGAATGCCAACTTTTTCCTCTAAAGTAACCCTGTTTGCAACACCTTCCCCAGTGAGAGCCAACTCAGTCAGAAGATGAAGTCTGACGCTATTATAAGGTAACTCTGGATGGTGCCCAGCGACCTCTAGCTACAACCTGACCAAGTGACCCAATAATAAATGGTTCAGTAGGAACAAAACAACAACAAGGTTCAGTTCAGATTTTAATTTTCATCCTGTGAAAAACGGACAGCTACTGAAGAGAGGTTTTAGACCACAGGATGTCTTAGAAATAACCCTGAGCACAATGTGGTCTGTTGGATCTAGAAAGCAGAGGAAGCAGAGTGATCCATTAGGGGTTCCTGTAGAAATCAAGGTGAGACACTAAGATTGATTTGATCTTGGGATGTTAAACAGAAGATGCAGAGAATGGATAGCTTCAAGACACATGAGGAGATGTGGGTAGTTGATGAAAATACTGCAGGATGATTTGAGATCACAGACTCTGAATCCTCCTAAAAATCCTACTGGTCTAAAATAAAACAAACATGTGTTGTCAAGAAAAGTAGGTACGGTCTCTCCAGAGTTGCATACAAGTCCTAGGGTCCATGGAATTTTTTTTAATATTTTACATT